CGCTTCTTGCTTTTAACCATATGCAATAAGGACTCCTCTCGTGGTTCTTCCTCCTCGCAATTCTCTCCAATTTCCAATAAAAATACTTCCTTACCCTTGCACTTGTGGCCTGGCGTGAACTTTTCATTGCACGAATAGCAAAGGCCTTTTTCTCGTCGTCGCTGCATCTCTTCATCAGTAAGCCGCCGTATGTTGCTTGTCGTTCGGATAGTCTCGCCCATCGGCTTGCTTTCTGTTCGCGCCGTTAGCTCCTCGGTCGCTGCGTTCATGCGCTTGGTCTCCGTGCGCACGTCGCTCGGCTTTGCCTTGCGTACTGCCACGAGATGATCTTCGTGCAGTCTAGCCGACTCTATAGCTGCTCGCATCGATCCTGGCCTGTCCAACCTTACTTCGGCTGCCAACTCAGCCTTTAGTACCCCAACAAATGTTCCCACTAGCGCAGCCTCGGGCCAGACCCGTACTCTACTAGCAATGCGCTCGAACTCTTTTTGATAATCTCTTAGACTACCTACTTGTTTGATTCTTGACAAAGCCTCGTTGTAATTGTGGTAGTCACTCGAGCCAAACCTCGTGATGAGCTCTTTTTCAAAATATCTCCAACGCATGTGCTCACCATGGTTTTTGTGCACCACCCATTGCCACCAAACGTTTGCTTCTCCATCAAGGTGATAAGCAGCAATTTGAACTCGTTCGTACCTTGGCACATCATTGATCTCAAAGAATTGCATAGCTCGACTCAACCATGCATCCGGATCTGTTCCCGTGAACGTGGGCATAACAATTTTCGGTCTCGTACTTGCCCGCTTGTCCCGTGGATCGTCGTGATCGTGGTATCGGGCATGTCCCTCGTCCCGTCGTTCATCACGTCGTCGGCCCTCGCGATGTGGCCTCCGCTCGTCGTGTGTCGCATGCGACGCGTACGGTGCATGTGATCGCCAGTCGTCGTCCTCTTCGCGCCTTCGGTCGTGATGTGTGCGTCCATCATACCGCTGCCGATCGTCGTGGTGGTGATCTGCGCGATGCGCGTGTGCCCCGCGATCGACGTTCGTCCTCGCGGTCGGTCCCGGTGCTTGCTGCCGTGGACTGCGACCCGTGTCGTCTCCTTGGCCGCGTGTTCATGCGCGTTAGCTGCCCGGCCATGTCCTGGACCATTAGTTCGATTCTTCCCAAGTTCTCGTTGGTAGCATGTTGACCATCGCCGATGATTTTCATGTTGTCTTCCAACGCTTGAATCCTTTCACGGTTTGATATCATAAATCCTTTTTTTTTTACTCTAAAAATTCGAAAATAATAGGGAAAAATTCGAAAAATCGAACCCCCAACAAGACTAAAAAAAAAAAGAATCGAAACAAAAAGAAATTCGGCCCCTCAACAAAAGGTAATAACCGAACAAAAATCAAACAAAGGACTAACAAGATGACACTTTTTTTTTAAGACACGAAAATAATGAAAAATTCGAATAAAACAATTCGAAAATTTCGAACAAAAAGAAAGAAATTCGGTCCCTCAGCAAAAGGCAAACCGAAAAAAGAAAAAAAAGATAAGATAGATAAATACGCGATCAGCACCTCTCAATGAAAGCACCAAT